TGGTCTGCTGGAGACGGTCTCCAGCAGACCAGGGGCACCGGAGCAGCTTACGAACGGGGCTTTCTCGCCCCGACTTCCGGGGCGAGAAAGCCCCGTTCGTAAGTGCGGATCCGACATAAGTCGGATCCGCGTACGTCGGGGACTGCCTGTACAGTATAAGTACATGTATTTATATGTGATAAATAGTTTACTTTCCAAGGGTTTTTAAAGTTATTTAACAAACATTCTTAATGTAGTAAAACCCTGTATATGTTATATCTCTCCTGCTGCATTATGTTACATTTTATAACTCTTGTGAGTTCAATGTCTCTAAGTCTATGTCTACGGGTACGTCTAGACTACAGGCTTTTGTCGACAGAAGTTTTGTCGACATGGCAGTGTAGACGCAAGGACAGTTTACATGCAATAACGCTTTCTGTCGACAGAACTCTGTCGACAGAAGGCGTTATGCCTCGTGAAATGAGGTTTACCATCGTCGACAAAACTGCTGAGTTCTGTCGACGTTATGTCGACAGAACTCAGCGGTAGTGTGGACGCAGGTATAGTTTTGTCGACAAAAGTCCAGTTTTGTCGACAAAACCCTGTAGTCTAGACACACCCTACAATACCAGATTATTTCAAAATAAGTTATATTGAAATAACTCCCAAAATAACTATTTTGAAATAAGCTTATTCCCCTTCACAAGCAGGAGTTATTTCAAAATAACAAGCCCATAATTTAGAAATAATAGGCTTGGTAGTGTGGATGCTCATCTTGTTATTTCAAAATAAGGGGAGTTTTGGAAACAACTCCCCAGTGTAGACATGCCCTAAATTAACATTGCATAAATGTACCCTATTTTTTACATTGCAAATATTTTTGTTAATTTACAACTTACTGTAATAACACCATTTCACGTATGACTCATCTGATATGTTGATCAGCACTTATTTTATTTACTGGGTAACACGATACCTTACATCTTAAAAAAATGAAGTAAAAAATATGTCCCACTTCACCAAAGATTGATTGAAAGGGAAAAACATACGTAGAAATAAGTATCCTTCCTATGTTGTCCCCCTGCAAAAGTTCAGTTTGTTTATCCTGTCAGTTTTGATAGGATACTCAAGTTCTCCCATCCTGTAATTTTTTTAGTGACAGACAGTTGCAATAAGGAGGCTAAACTGTAGTGGAAATAAATAAAAAATTACTACTAATGCTGTGCCAATGTGCGTGTACAGAATTCATACCCCACCACAGATTCCTTTGCTTCCCCACAGGAAAAATTACTTTCTTACAAACCCAGACCCCTCTGTTAAGCCCCAGCCATTGTCAGCTGGAAGCCCCAGCAAAATCTTAATGCCCCTGCACCAAGAATCTGTCTTTGAGCCCCTGTGTACCAACCTCCCCCCCCCCCTGCACTGAGCTGCCTGCACCCATATTATCCCACACATACCTATCACCTCACACCTGGATCTCTTCACATTCCGCCCCTTTCACACTTGTATCCTGCCTGGTTGTGAATTGCCTGACCCACGTGTGGTGCACTTGGCACAGAGGGGCAGGGCCTCGGGACATTTCTGGGATAGGTACAGACCTTGTGCTGTGTCAGGGATGGGTGCAGCCTCAACGCAGAATTTGTGTCCTGTGGTGTGGGGGTGGCTACAGGGTAATCTCTTTCCTTCATGCAGCCAGTGGTCTATACTCCCCACTACCATACTGGAGCCTCTGTGTTTGTTTATTTGCAAATAAAATTTGCAGAATTTTTCAATTTTTTATGCAGAGTTTTTAATATTTTGACCCTCAGGAGTAAAGTTACATAATGTTACAAGTAATACTTTGTCAGAATTGTACCTAAAGGTGCTGCTGGTATGAAAAAAAACTTTTTGTGACCTGCAGTAGATAAATATTAATAGCTAAACATGGTTTAATAGATGATTAATAGATAAGGCAAAGCAATTCACTTTGGTAAATAATCTCTCCAGCTGGGATGTGATTTCACCTAAAATAGACCCAATTTCAACTGTGCTCTGTGTGTGGGCCTTCCTCATTGACGCAGAAAATCCAGCTGTGTTCCAACAGAACTAAACTGCCAAATTATAAGCTTATTTTTAATGTAGGAATAGTACAGTATGTATATTTGTTAAAGGCTTTTTCTTAATACTTCGGTCTTAGATACATGTTTGAATTCAATGGTACCTCTGCTTTCTGAATCAAGATATTGTCTTGCTAAATCAATCTTAGTTTATGTGGAAGCCTTATACTTTTATATGCAGTCTGACATAAGATCTATTGTATCTCTAAAATGAATATAGGAAACATTATATATCACATGAAAATGTTAATGCCCCCTGCACAAAAAAAGGGTTCTTATAACAGAGAGAGTCAGGCAACCTTAATTGTAGGCAGTGCTATCTGTGAACCCTGTAACATGCACTGCAACAAAGAAATCCTACTAGAATTTGCCTTGAATAAGATTAGTAGATTTTTTTTTTTTTACATGGAGATATGGAAGGAAGGAAGGAAGAAAATGTAATTCTTTTGTAGCTGATTTTTAGCAGTGTAGTATCAAAATAGTAGAACAACTCTTCATCTTTTTCACATAAATGATCTGTGAAGAGCAAATGTTGTAGGATTTCACTAATACAGTAATGGTAATAGGGAATGAATTGCTGATGAAACTGATGGAAATACGTTGGAGAAACAATATGTACCTCTGAGATCTGGTCATAGATTGGCTTGCTTTTAAAAAATCATGATACAAAGATAATACATCCATTGTAAACCATGCAGAACTCTGTTTGTAACATTTCCTTTCACTTTTAGGCCTGGTTTGGCTGGGAAAACTCTCCCCAAAATTCCAACAGATTTTAAGAGTTCTGCTAAGACATTTTCAAACCCTATTGCAACTATAGTATAGACCAGGTTCCAGGCAGCCCTGCCTGAAAGAATTATTTGTAGACCCCTGTGCGGATACAAAATTTGTATTTGCATCTGTATCCAGAAAAATGAGCCGCAGATATCCGCTTTGACATCTGCGAATGCAGATACCTGTGAATTGGCTGGGCTCTAGTTATTTGGACAAAACTGTAATTTAGGTAAGAGCCTTTTAAAGACCAGACATCAGAAAAATAGAAAATGGGAGATTTGCATATGGGCTTGTATAACTCAGATCAAAGTCTTCTGGACACATGGGCCGAAGTGCGGTGGTTGTCATGCTGTTAAAATCTCCCAGTTTCTATTAATTGTTCTTTATGAATTACTAATTTCAGGTAAAGTGAGGTACAATAAAATGGAATTACTTCGTATCAGAAAGCTTTAATTGTGAGCAGTGTGGGGTACAACTTGTTTCTCTTGCCTATTCCGTGTAAAGGAATCTATGCTCTCTTGAATCTTGCAGGAATCAATTGCTGCACGTGCCCTTTAAACATAACCAGGTGAACTGCTCCGACTGGCTGCTAAAAGTGATCTGTGGCACAGTGGACATCCGCACTGTCTACGCATCTCACAAGAAGGCGAAAGTCTGCCTCATTTCCCGGATCAGCTGTGAACGAGCTGGGGCCAGGTTTCACATACGAGGGGTCAGTGATGATGGACACGTGTCCAATTTTGTTGAGACCGAGCAGGTAAATGACGGGAAGGATCCCATAACCCTAAATAATTCAGTGCATCAGTGTATAATTGGGGAATCATTTACAGCAAGACTTAGAGGAACTCAGCAAGTGCTTTTTGTATGCAATGTTTTAAGCTGCTCTTATGCATGAAATAGGTCTTCCCTCTTGCTCCTTAAGTGCCTACCCAGTCAGTTCTCCTTTTGTACCTTTAGCTTCTTGGGCACTCATAATTCATGTTTTTTATTTATTTCCCACTGTGGAAGTTCTAGCACCCCAGGCTTCTTGTCAAATTATAAATGTGCATTTTTCAGTAGATTCAGAAATTCCTGTCTTGAGCAGCAATGACTCATAAGTAAAATCAGCACATAAACCACAAGGTTCTCAATGGCTCCATGTATTTAATCAACCAAGAGGCCAATGCATCAACACAAGAAGGAAGTTTTAAAAATACAGTTATTATAAAATGATTGTGGTACTATACAAGAAAAGCATAAGTGATTCCCAGTGCAAGAGAAAGTGGGAGAAAGGCAGTTCTTTTGAAAGCCCTGGTAATTTTAGTCCACACACTTTTTATATAGGTCTGTTTAATTAGTCCTAGTTTACAATAGAAAAGGTTTGCTGATACAGACATAGTATCTACTGGCAAAAATGTTTTTAACCAATGTGGCTTACGCAATTTCATGAAATGAAAGCAGCTGTGCCGGCAGAAACATTTTTTTCCCCAGTGTATCTGTTTCTAAACTAGGGCTTTTGCTTGGATAAAAATGTCATAAAAATTAACACTCCTAGTTAATACTATTATATCTGTAAAAGTTTCTAGTATGGACCTAGCCTTAATCTCCTTACTGTTCTTCCTGGGAGGAAGACACAAAACTGTCAATGAAGACACAAAACTGGCAATGAGACTTTCTTTGTGACTCTAATCAGGTCACCTAGCCATGGATCCTGCAAAAAACAGCATGTATGAGTAGTCCCAGAAGAACACGCATGCACACAGTCAGTTTATATATAGTGTTCTCAGGATTAGTATAATAATTGTTTTGTTTCACTATTTTTCCAGCTGTAAGAAAGGGATAATTATAACTTCCTACCCCCCAGCAAGGCTAAATTAATTTTGTGTCATAATAAACTTCATTATAGAGGTTCTGGAGCTTTGCAATGCAATGTTCTAGTCAGGAGGAAGGCATTACAAAGGAACAAGAACATGGGTGAAAGATTCAAAAGTTCCTTTAGCCAACTAAGTAGAGTAAAGAGAACAGAGAGAGAAACTGCTATCTGGTCAGTGGCCAGGAGGCAAATTCCAATACAGCTCCATTAGGATAGGGTTGGCTTTCCATATGGGATGTGGTTTTATAAGAGGGGGATATGGCAGAACTTTATACTTCAGGTGTGCCTAGCAGAAAGGTGGAAACCCTAGTTCCAACTGGCGCTGATAACAAAGACAAGGGAGAAATATGCACGTTTGGTCTGGCTCCATAAATTAACATGACCAAGGAAAATAATAGAGACACAAAGTTGGTGAGATAATACTTTTTATTGGATGAACATATGTTGGTGAAAGAGACGAACTTTCAAGCTTGACTTCTTCATGAAGAAGAGCTGTATATAGTTTGAAAGCTTGTCTCTCTCACCAGTGTAAGTTGGTCCAGGAAAAGTTATTACCTCACCCATCATGTGTGTCTAATATAGAACCAACACAGCTACAATGGCACAGCAAACAATGAAAATATATCATTTTGTTTCCTGTGCATTGCTTGGTTTACTACATTTAAAACAAAAAGCACAGGACCCTGAAGAACCCTCAGACCACCTCTGTCTGCTGAAATTAGCTCTTCCATGTTCAGCTATCATTTTCCTTTTTTTGAAAAGATACAGGCACTGCTCCTACCCAAAAGAATGACACTTTTAATCAAATGTAGATTTTAATATTCATGAAGAGCTGCATCTGTATGGGAGATCAAAGATAAATGAACAGGCCATAACCTCCAGTACACAAAACATCATCCCTAAGCTTGGTCAACATTTTTCAACATTTTCAGGAGCAAATATACAAAACCGTGTCATCAAAGCCTTAGAATATATTTTTGAAGAGTGGAATTTTGGTGCCTAGTCCACTGGAAAACGTTTCTTCTGGGGCAGACAGATGTGTGCACCTGTAGGTGAAATTTACCATTGGGCAGAGGGAGCAGAGAGAGAAAAAAGATGTCTCTACAATTGTCCCGATAAAGCAATGTATAATCCTCGTAGACCAGGGCTGGGCAGTAATTTTTAATGGGAGGTCACTCCAAGATTTTGGCAAGTGGTCAAGGGCCACGCTAATATGGAAGGAATGTGGGGTCTGGGATGGAGGTTGGGTGAAGAAGGGAGTTTGGGGTAGGAGACTGGGATGCAGGAGTGGGTGTGGGGTCTGGGTGAAGGATGGGGTTGTGATGTGGTGCAGGAGCTTGGGGTGCAGGGTTCAGGAAGGGATAAGGGTGCAGGGGAGGATTCTGGTCTGGGGGAGGGGCTCTAAAAGGTGATGCAGAGTCTGGGAGGGGTTGTGACCTGGAAGAAGGGGGTGCAGTGGGTTTGGGTGGTGACCTGGGGGTGGGGATTGGAATGCGGGGTCAGGGAGGGGGTATGGGTGCAGTAGAGGATTCTGGCCTGTGGGAACGTGCAGAATGGGGTGCAGGGAGGGAGGGAGTTGTGACCTGGGAGAAGGGGGTAAAGGGGCACAGAGAGTTTGGGTGGTGGCCTGGGGCAGGTAGCTGGTGGGGGGGGGGGACAGAGAGGGATGGGATGCCAGAGGCAGGCTCTGGTTGGGAAGTACTTACCTAGGTGGCTCCCGGTGAGCAGCTCTGCAGGAACCTGAGGCAGGCTCTCTGATGAAGTCTCAGTTGGCAGGCTACTCTACTTGGGACTGCTTTAGGTATGGGGGGGGCAGGGGAGAGAGGTTTCACATGCTGTCCCTGCTCCCAGCAAAATTTCTCAGCTCCTGTTTGCTGGAAACTGACTAATGGAAGCTGAGAGATTTTTTTTGGGGGGGAGGGGCAGGAGCAGTGTGCAAAGCTTCCCTCCCCAGCCATCTAAATCAGAGCAACCAGCTCTTAAAAGCATGAGCTGCTCTCTGCCTAAGGGTCCTGGCAAGGCGACCTCAGGCCAAATCTGGTGGCTTGACAGGCTGGATCCAGCCTGCTGCAGCTTCTTGCCCACCTCTGTTCATACCAAGTATAAAATAGTAATTTTTCACCAAACTAAGCATGGGATGCTGTGGTTTCTTACGAGGAAGGAAAGTTAGACGTTGAGATGGGTAGCCATCATTTCTCAGGTCAGCCCCAAATGTGCAGTGCTACCTCCTTGCAGCTCAGTTGCCAGTCTTGATACTATTCCTATTTCTCAGCATGCCAGCTATTTGGGTCCAGGGTTCCTTAGCTTATTTGGTCATGCTCTTGCAGAACACCTCCTGCAAGAGGTGTTGGAAATGATTGACACACAAATATGATGCCAGTTGTTTCGCAGCACAAATGAAGTTCAGCCCCTGATGAAAAGGCAAAATGTTGATAGATTGCCAACAATTGAATGGGATAGTGGTTGGTCAGGAGCAGTGCATCCTTCACTGGGCCTTCTGTGCTGCTTTTCCAGTTCAGTAGGTAGTCAATATCTAAGGCTATATCTACACTGTCATTTTTTTTCCGGCAGAAGATATGCAAATCATGCTCTCATTTGCATATCTTCTGCCGAGCCTTTTTGCGGAAGAAGTTTTGCAGCTAAAAAGCCCCATGTAGACGGGGCCATTTGTCGGAAGAAAAGCCTTTCTCACAAGATCCCTTATTCCTCAAAAAATGAGGTTTACGGGATCTTGTGAAAAAGGCTTTTTTTCTGACAAATGGCCCCGTCTACACGGGGTTTTTTAGCGGCAAAACCTCTTCCACAAAAAGGATCGGCAGAAGATAAGCAAATGGAAGCACGATTTGCATATTTTCTGCTGGAAAGAAAATGACAGTGTAGATATAGCCTCAGAGTGGTTTTTGAGCTATTCAGAACCGGAAAAGCCAAAGCAAAGAGGAAATAAGTGCCAGATGACTGAACTGTTATGACTAAAAGACTTGGAGGTCAATACCTACAGAAGTGCTCTGCTGTCTAATTTTTGCCAGGCTAACTGCTCTAAGAAAAGTAATAGAGAGGTAGCCGCGTTAGTCTGATCTTGCAAAAACAAAAGGAAAAACTATGTAGCACTTTAAAGACTAACAAGATGGTTTAATAGGTGATGAGCTTTCGTGGGCCAGACCCACTTCCTCAGATCGTATGCTGTACGAAAACAAAGTGAGAGCTAACCACCAGGATACAAGCAGTCCAGTTAAAGCTGGCATCCACTTACCATCATATATATAGTAGCCCAATGTCTGAGAGTCTGTAACGCTGAAATGCTGGCTGTTCCCTCTGGGCAGCCCGTGCTGCATGGGGAGCGCGGGGACCAAACAGCCACTTGCTCCCCCACGGCGGCCTGGCTGAGTGGTGCAGAAGTCAGCCGAGCGCCATGGAGGAAGGGGAAGGGAGAAGGGGTAGTGATGTTCACAGCCGGGGGCGGGGCCTGGAGCTGCTGTCACACAGCACATCACCGCCCCACCCCCTGGCCGTGAACGTCACCACCCCACCCCCCTTCTCCCGCTGTGGCGTTTGGCTGACTTCTGCCGTTTGGACTCCGCGGTCCCCCAAGTGAGAGGCAGGAGGGGGGGAAGAAGAGAAGGAGAGAGATGGAGAGAGAGGCAGGAGGTGGAGGAGAGCTGAAAGAGAGAGGGGGAGGCAGTAGGAGGAGGAGAGAGAGAGACCGGAGGCTCAGGAGAGAAGACCAACGTGGAGGAGAGACCTGAAAATCCTGTCTTATGATGGACTAATTGGCTAGTTAGGAAGTAAAAGCCAAAAAATAATCTCTTTTCTACTTTCATAGTAGTCTACTGACTAATGGGCTATGAGGTAATATCATGAACGTTTGTAATTAGAATAACATTTTGTGTCCATTTGCAGCAGCCTGT